CCCCAAAACCCCAAAACCCCAAAACCCCAAAACCCCAAAACCCCAAAACCCCATATAATATGATAAATATTGAAATTGATTTATAGAGATCTACTGCTGGTCTTCTCCATCTTCGTCCTTCTTCTTAGAAGGAATGCCCACAACAGTAATAACTGGGGTAAATACGGAGTCTCTCTCAACCTCAAAGTAACTGTATTTGGTATACAAAACTATAGAATTACTGACATTTCTTACTAGTGTTGTTATTTTTCATCTCAACAAGACTCCCTGAAATACTATTCTTACTGTTCTTAGCCCTGTCCATCCAGGGTCTGAGTTTCTTCAGTCTCGTATCTCCATGGAAATTATCCCTTGACGAGTCAGGGATGTAATTGATGTTTATCCCTGAGAGGAAACTATTTGAGTACTTTTTGATCATATCAAAGCTTTCAATTATGCTCTGCCCTATCTTCTGGAAATTTACTGGAGGAAAGACATTATTTCATCTGATTGAATTTCTCCTTAGAGAGGATCTTATCATTATCATCTGTTTTACAGTAGAAAACTTTTGATTCATGCTTAGAGTAGACTGTTGAAGACCTCATCGTACCGAGGATAAAGTCTTCATGACCGAAGATGTCGCCATCATGAAGTTCCTTAATCTTGCTCCTTACTCTTCGAGTCATTTTTGTAACCATCCACTTGTTCTTCCCTCCTGGATATTTGTAAAAGAGATCCAGGTCAAGGTCTGATTGCATTACAAGTGTGCCCTTGAATACGATATAAATCATATTGGTATTTTCACCTTGAACGTAAACTTTTTGATCAGGCTTGTATTGTAAAGGCTTCAGCTTTTCATTAAATAACAGCAGGTCTTCAAAAGTCCACTTATTTGAAAAAATCCATCTCTTTTAGGTACTTGAAAGTTTCTAATTTCTGCAGCTTCTCTGTGTCCTTAATACATTTATTAAAGTCTGTTTTGAGGACAACAAGTGTATCGCAAACACTTGTGGCCACCACAGTGGCGCTTCTCTTAGCATCATCAAGCAAAGCATCTGCTCCGAAACTGAATCCGGAATCCTTCTCTACAAACTGACCTTTTGACTCGTCACCCCATATAATTTTGATTTTGCCTTTATACAGAATGTACATGCAATCACCATCGTCTCCTTTGCGGATGATTACATCACCAGGATTGTATCGAATAGCTATTAGAAATTAGAAATTAAAAAAGATGCAAAACCAAGTGTATTAGAGGATTTAGTATTTTCTTACCCTTCAACTTTCTGGCAATGTAAGGCATAATATCAATCTGCTTCATCTTGAAGAAATCTGAAGGTGATAAAAGAAATTACCAATGTTGTTAATGAGGTAATCAGCAATGTAAAGATTTTCATCAATATTTCCTTCTGAGCCAGCTAAGAAGAATTAACTTAAAGTTTACCCATTTGGGTTCTGTTATAACAAATCTCAAAAGGAGTCCTTCCATTAATCTTTGATTTTTCATAAAGTTTCAGCTGCTTGATGCCACCATTACTGATCTCGAAGAAATTAGGGTTATCCTTCAGGGACTTCTCTTCCTCTGTAGGGTCAGTAGGATGCATACCTGGCTTCTTGAATTTCTTACGATTGAATCTACTCTTTCTAAGAAGATGAGTAAGAAGCATACTGTTTGTGCCCCTTCTTGGAGTACATAGATTTCCGACTCTGGGAACTCATTGATTCGTTCGATACAAGAGACTTCCCGCTAGATTTCCTGGAGATATTTAGTGACGAAGACATCTTAGCCATGCTTAATTCTGGATTTGTGATACTACTCTCATTAGATTCTAGGCTTAAGAGGGAAGAGACTTACCTGTTGCAGAATCCTTATCTCCAATAGCGTAGTTATTAAATTTCCTCAGATATTTCGCCCTGTAATTTGAATTTGATTTTCCTAAAATTGTGATTTCTAAGAATTTACTTGATTCATAAAACTCGTTAAAGATCTGCCTCCTGCTCTTTAATCCAGAAGGAATATGAAATTTAGGAGAAACTAGTTGAATGTTCTCAGTATTTAGCCTTGGTTGGCTCACTGCTTTGCTCTTCTAGATAAATCTGAGTACAGAGACCTTACCCTCTTGATATTCTTGACGAAGACCTTATCCATTTTAGTATTGATGTTAGCGAAATGCTTAATATAATGATTTAGATCAAATGGCATCGAGTCAGATGGTTTACTCAGCAATCTTTTCCGTTGGTTTTGGAACTTCCTATGCAAATGAAAGCAGAGTGGTACTTCTCCTTCATAGTCCAGTTGCCATCTAATGTCTCTTCCTTCCTGACCAGCTAGGTGTCAAATTGCATCCGTACCATATTCGAAAGAGTGGACATTTTCTTGAGTTTATGGTTGTTCAGATGTTCATTAATAAACCTATCTTGTGCTATAAGTTGTTGATAACGTAGAATACCTGGATTCCTGGTGCCTATCTGGATGACTGGGAAGGACTCCTTGGTCTCATCCAGCTGTTTTACGCTATTAGTATGGCTCATTCGTTTTTCTTTTATGTTTATAAGACCTCTGTACATTTTTGTATAACCCGCATTCTCAAAATTCATCTTCGCTAATCCATGTCAACCTTGCTTACTATCAATCGTATTATACCCTAAATTCCTCTCCAGATCTCTAAAATTCCATATTACTTGCGCCACTCAAGGCTTCTTTTGGAGGCTTATTCCTTATTTGGAATTGGCCATGGTCTCCAAATACAAATTAATTATCCGAAAACACAAAATCATGACCAGCTCCTTATAAAAGTTGTATTAACTAAGCCAAACTAATCATTCTTTAAGCTTTGTGCAATTAATAGTTAATTATGCCAAATATTTCTAAAAATTCAGCCATGGAAAATTAGTAAGGATTTAGATGAATTAATTCACAATTTTCATTGCTTATGGTATAACTAAACAGAATTAATTATTCAAGACCTTGATAAAGGAGTCTCATGTAAAATTAGATTAAGGTAGATCAAGCAAACAGACATTAAAATGACATACTTAGCTTTTCTTGTAGTCTTGAAGTTATTCTTGAGGAAATTTTTCAAATTATTCTCTCTCATCTGATTAATTTTGCTTTTCCTAAATTCCAAGTAAGGCAAAAGTCCCCCCCAAAGCCTTAATTCCATCTACACGCCCCATACAACCAAATCTTGGCTCAGTCTCCTACCTTTTCTGTGTGTTTGGAACCTGGTTCATTACTCCAAATAATTTTATTATTCTTATAATTATTTCTTAACTGGGGTTTTGGGGTTTTGGGGTTTTGGGGTTTTGGGGTTTTGGGGTTTTGGGG